CATTCTCTCTGCAAGGGTCAGAGGGCCCGAGACTGCTCCAACTAAGAAGTCGACAAAGGCAAGATGGATGATCAAATATGTACTCCGGCGCTGTAGCTGGCGCTGCTTCACAAATACAATAATGGTTATGATGTTAAGGATGACTGTGGCCAGACATTCGGTGGTGAGCACAACAAACCAAGCAATACACTGTGATGCACCAATGCCGGGAGTCATAACCTTCTCCTGGGTGGCATTAAAAGTAGCGTTGGTGCTGTTAGTGGCCATTCAGCTTGTTTCGGAGGTATTCTCAATGACAGTGTACCTAAACATGAATACAAAGGTGTGCTTAGTATTTGAGTTAAATTATAAAAAAAATATGTCACTATAAAAAGAGAAAATGTATGTGAACCGAGAAATGCATAAATTATTCGACAAATTAGGTAAACAGGTTAAAGTTCGGACCCAAAAGAGTAAAAATGAAAAGCTTTAAGAAATTTTCTTGCTATATTGAAATCAGTTGTGCATCACTGAAACATTTCTAATTCATGAAATTGATGAAATATATGAAAAACAGATCCGAAAATATGGACTAAAAGCGGTTTTTAATGACATTTAGGAGCCTCAGCTTTGATCAAAACACTGAGAATCGAAGACTATACACATGAAATTTCTTCTATAATGAAAATCAAGAATAGCCCCTTTTTGTACAGTTTTGGTAATTTAATTTGGGGATGTTAGCTTTTTCAATATAAAAAATTACAATTGAAAAAGGAAAACTAATCTCATCGTGAATAGGGTTTGTGCAGTCAAAACGGATGTGTACCAAAAGAGTGTGTACTCGATGCTGAGGTCCTCAAACGGAGATTATTTCTTTTAGGTGAAATTCTTCTAAGTCTCTTCAGCCTGTGGTTGTACCTCTGACTGCGAGAGAAAATCAGTGAAATCGTAACGTTAGGAATAAAATAAAATAAAAACCGTGACTCCATGTGTTTTGTTGTTTATCTATAATGTCAAAAATTGACTTACACAGCGAAGTTCAACTTTGTCCTCCAAGGAATATACTGAAGTTCAATTTCATAATTATCATTGTGCGTTTCGAAAAAGCAGTATATGAAAAAGAAATTAATGACTATATTTCGAACTTTCTTTAATCTTTTTCTTACCTTACAGGACACTTCTCTTTCCTGAGGTGGTGGCTGAGTCTGTGGAATATTCTGGCAACTCTTGCGCAAACCAGCCTTTAATTCTAAACTAACAGGACAGGTGTTTCTTTGAGATAACGTTCAATTAAAAGACAGCATTGTTCATATCTTATTCAGTTCCGCTGTAATCAACAACGAGGAAATAGATATCTACTGGTGTTGTTCATTTAATGCGAAAATCCCTAAATCGTGTTTTATGGAATATTAAATAAGGGTACATGTATTAATTAAATATACCTTATTCGATGGTTGAACATATAAAACGCGAGTATACCTTTGCGAGTTGCGTGGTATTTCGAGGCGAGGAAAAATACGAGAAATGAGCAAAATATCCACGCCTATCATATGATAAGTCATCGAATAAGAGATTTATTATTCCACTCTGATATCGAAAATCATACCGATCACATAAGGCGCGTGCAGATGACGAACGCAAAATACGACATATTTTGAGCGTCTTCTTGACCTTATACGGGTAAAACGGCGTAATGGTGGAATTATAAATGTTTTCATTTGCATAACAAAAACCATGATCGTTCTAACTCTGAAGCGACCGAAGCTTCCATTTTCATTGTAAAACTGACAAGTTGAAGCAAAGCAACAGATTGCTGACTTTTAGAAAAACAAATATTAGTCGAACGGTAGAAGAAAGGCCTTAGACTCGTTCTCTTCCCCACCTATTCAGCTGTAAAATGGAATATGCTAGTGAATTAACTGTCGTTAGTGCGTGAAGAGCAAATCCACCGTAAATGCACGTACTGGACTGTGCCGAAAGTAATTTGTATTTGCCGTGGTCTTGCCGATTGCTACGTTACGCGATTGGCTGAACAAAGTACACACACAAGTGTAAGCACAAAGCACACGGTATTGAGGACGCACACAACACAAGCATAGGGACAAACAAGCAGAACAAAAGATTTTTTCTTCTTGTGCTTGTCAAGTGAGAACGCGCTACTGTAAGCATAAGCAGAAGCAGAAGCTGAAGCTGAAGCAGAAGCAGAAGCAGAAGCAGAAGCAGAAGCAGAAGCAGAACCAGAACCAGAAGCAGAAGCAGAACCAGAAGCAGAAGCAGAAGCAGAAGCAGAAGCAGAAGCAGAAGCAGAAGCAGAACCAGAACCAGAACCAGAACCAGAAGCGGAACCAGAAGCAGAACCAGAACCAGAAGCAGAAAGTCCGCCATCTTTTTTTATTGTATCAAGGAGGTATGGAACCGAAAAAGAATGGCTCCGTTGGGTACATGCCTCCTAACTGGGGCATACAAATTTAGCATTTTTCTTTTCAGTTCTTTAGTATGATCGTTACTCAGGGCCCCTTCCACACTAGGCCTAAGGAATTTGAAAATACAGCTGTATTTCTTCGGTTAGGCCTACCGTCCACACTAATCCGTCCGGAAAACGGAACTTTTCGAAAAGGTTCTTCAAACCGGAGGAATTTGAAAACGCCGGCTTTTCGTTTTCGTTTGGACGGAAAACATTTGGAAAATGGAGCTTTTCGAAAACGATGGCGTCACGATGATCATGCAGCTATTTCTTTGCCCGAGTTTTCCTCAAACACAAATCCAAAACGACCAGTGTTTGTTGCGTTTTTAAATCCATCTGGCGTAGTGTGGACAGAAAATATTTGATTCGTTTTCGGAGTAAAACTTCCGATTTCAAATTCCTCTGGGGTAGTGTAGACGGGACCTCAAGAAACAACAACCTCGGCAGCTAGAGAAACCTCAGGAAAAGATCATCTGTTTAGATTTCCTGTTCACTGAAGTCCTAAAATATGCAGTTGATGAAATAAACAACACAGTGCATGAAACAAATCAGGGTCTTAACGGAATTTCTCCAGACTGAAAATTTTGTGCAATAATCTTCTAGACAGGTGCGAATGAAAACGTTGGGATGGACTTAAATAATTTTATACATTTTGCTTGTGTTTGTCCCTACAGACTTCTCCTTTTATCATCGTGTCCTCTCATTAGTATTGTAGAAATCTGTAGAGATAAATCTATTCTTAAACCCTCGCTTAAGTGATGAAGGCTTACTCTCGTTGAAAGTACAACCATCAAATTAAAACATTGAAGTAAATTTTAGTGACAGAAGAGTCGCCCTAAAATGGTAATTATGTTCTCCCCTACTACTATCCCACCATTTTTCGCTTTGTTTTCTAACGTGTTTGTATGTGGCAAAGTATTATTAAACTTAACCTACACTAACCGTCTGACTGAGAAAATAATTTGATCAGATCTAACTAGATCTTAAACTTACCTTAAAGCAGAATCTCCTCGTTGAGGCTGTGTGGTCAGGGATTAGCATAACCATTTCTACAAAAAGGGCAGGTGATTTAATAGGAATATGAGCTGTCGTTTAAAGTAGTTTTTATATTAAATGTTGTGTCAACATAATTTTAATGACACTGTTGGGCAGAAAAACTGGGTAGTTTGTTCATTTTATCTTCAAGTGTAATTTAAACATGAAAATAGGTTCAAAGTTTTGATGTTTAATACTTTTTTTTATCCCAAACAAAACATAAATGCAGAATGCGTAGTTCTTCTTTGGCAAACCAAGAATTTCTGACTCCGCTGATCGACATTCTAGCTTTATTTAAT